GGGGGGGGGGGGCGGAACGCGGTTCATGGGTGCACGCCCAGCGCGGGCCCTGCTCTCTGCCCTCCGGGCCTCTGGACTCCCGGGCACTGCCGCCGGCTCATCCTCCTGGGCCAGTGGCCAGCCCAGCGGCCCGAGTGGCACAAAGGACAGGCTGTCCCAGGGCAGTCGCCGCTGCCCATGAAGTGCCGGAGGGGGTGAGGGAGGGTGGTGAAGTTGACCAGACTCTGCCCCAGAGAGAGCAGAACCAAGAGGCTCCAGTCCGTCTGTCCGTCAGCGGTGGGTGCTCCTGACACGGGGCTGGGTCATCGCCGGCCACTGTCAAGAACTGCTGGTAATTGAGACTGTGCTTTGGGATTTCCGTGAACAGAATAGGTTTTAATTATAGGTCGGGGACAGGCAGGCAGAGACATTTGGGGCGCTAACTAGGCCGCAGGGTTCTCTCGGGAAACAGACGTGCCCCCAGCCTGCCCTCCCGGCCTGGGCTCCCCACGCCTCCGGTCATCACTGACGGGCGTGCCGTCCGTGGAGGACACCACGGGGGACACAGTTGGTGGAGGTCGTGCCATGTGTCCAAGGCTTTGGTGACCCTGTCCCTTGGGCCTGGGGTGTCTCAGCAAAGCGGGGTACAACTCCACGGCAGGGGGTGAGAGTGCTTGTAGCCTAACTGTGAGGGTCTCTGTTGGGGTTCCAGGCAGGCCAGCCCTTGGAGCTGCTGATGGAGGCAGGTCCTGCCCCTGGGGAAGGCGGAGGGCGGCCCACCCCCCACCTGAGGCTGGGGCTGCCAGGGTGCCCGGAGCTGCAGGGAGGGCTCAGTCAAGCCTGGCTCCACCTTCCTGGTCCCTCTCTGACAGGAGGGTGGTGGGGGGAGGTGTGACAGGCAGCCCCGGCTGGTGTGGTTTGAGGGGTCCTGGGGGGCAGCCCCTTGGCCTGATGTTGACCACGTCAGGTGGCCTCCCCCTCCCTGGGCTTCTGTGCTCTGGAAGGCGCGCATCCCAGTCGCGGTCTGAGAAAGGGGAACTGTGCCTTCTATTTAAAGGATGTGTAATTAACAAAGCAGAAACAAGATAACCGTAATTTAGATCGTCAAGGATAATGGTAGAGGCTGGTCCTGTTAGCGGGTGGCGTTGACATCGCGCTGGAGGTGGGAGCCCTGGTGCTTGTGCTGTTCGGTTTCACAGAGCTCCTTGGAGCTGAAGGCCTCAGTGGACAGTCAGGTCAGGGACCTCCGTGGGGAGAGGACTGAGAAAACAGAGGCCCCTGACCGTCCCAGGGTCCCTGTGTCCAGAGGTGGCACCAAGACATTCAGGGTCTCTTGTGGGGACTCTGCCCGTGGGACAGGACTTGGCTCCTTTGAATCCCAGGACCAAGCCACTGTGGCCATCTCCGCTCCCCCACCTCCCCAGACGGGCGCAGGGCTGTGGCCTGGGTGCCTCCTTAGCCGGCGCTGACGGTAACTCAGAGCCTCTTTTGCTTTTAGAGCCGGGAGAGGCTCCCGAGGGCAATGCCAGGCTGTCGTTGCACACGGAAAGTGGCCGAGGTGAACACGTGGAAAGGAACAGGGGAAGTTGGTTTTAGTAACGTACTTTCTTTAGCTGAATATACCTCGGATGTTTTTCAACACAACCGTTATAAAAATATTAATGAAATGTTCTGCATTTTTTCCCGCTATGAAGTCTTTGAAATTAGGTGTGACTTTGGCACCTTCAGAACCTCCATGGCCACGGGAGGCGGGGCTGCCCTGTCAGGTGGCTGTTACCTGGACAGTGTGGTTTAATTCAGCCCCTTCCCTTTCCAGATGAGACTGCTGAGACCTGGAGGGTTTAGCAACTTGCAGAGGCCACTCAGCAAAGCAGGAGTTAGTGTGAGCCCCTGACATCCTCCAGGTCTTCAGGGAGCAGAGCAGACCCCAGACCCAGGCAGTGTGGATCCTTCAAGGTGACACACTCCCTGGCAGCCACCCAGGGCCATGGCTCAGGGGTGCCTATGGTTTCCTGAGACTTGCCCCTTGGCCTGGGGTTGGGGTTGGTGTGTGGGCTTTTGTCAGTGCGTCCCACTTGCTGGTGTGCTCCCTCTTGGCGCCTCCGTGGAGCACTGGGCGTGGGGACGCCATGGGCACACCCCCGCCAGTGCATCCTGAGCGCAGTGTGCAGGTGAGCTGGGCGGGGCATGGGCAGCTGGAGTCTGTTGGTCAGACTCATGGCCCTGCCACGCCCATAGTCCAGCAGCTCGGGGTTTCACCCACTGATCCTGGGCCAGCTTCCTGTTCGTGGCCTGAGTACCGGGCCCACCAGGCCAGGGAAGGGGCACAGGCCTGGCCCCAGGCTCCTGGGAAGCCAAGGGCTGCAGCCGGCAGGCCCCCAGCGACTGGGGCAGCCTGGGCTGGGCGGTCTTGCTGCCCCCTGGAGTCGTCGTTACCCGTGGCAGCGGCCGGGTTACGCTCATTCATAAGCTGCAGGGACCTGAAGGGGCGCAGGGTATGTTAGGGTTCTGAGGAAGGTGGGAAAGGGGCTAGGCCACTCCGGATGGGGTGGGCCCGGGTGAATCACAGGCGTGGGGTCTGTTCTAGCCGCCCCTCCCCCACGCTGAGTCACGGCTGCTCTGGAGGGAAGAGACCTGTGTTCTGATCACTTTTGTCTTCTCGGATTACAGGGCTGCTCTGCCCAGGGTGACTAAGTGGGCGCAGTCTGTGGGCCTTAAATGCTTTCAGCTGGGTGTTTCTATAGTGCCGTCGCCATAGCACCGGCTACGCGAGGAACAGGCAAGGCGGGGAGGGGCCGGGCGGGGGCCTGCCTGCCACGGGGACGCTGCGCTGGGGCTGTTTGGCACCCATTGCTAAGGCATCGGAGGTGTGGGGCCCGTTCGTCCCCTGCACCGCTTCCGAGAGCTCGAACTCTCCACTTTTGGGGGAGTGCTGCCCACAGAGCGGGCCAGAGTGGCGAGGCTCCTCACTCGGCCTAGATTTCCAGGCCCGCCTGGTGAAGTTGTGGTCTTTCCCTACGAGCAGTTGGTGCCCTGGGAAAGGAGGTCAGGCCAGCCGGTATTCCTCGACAGAAGTGTGGCCACGTGGCCTCACGGCTGGGACACTGCTCCGGCCAGAGAGCACAGTGCCGGTGCTCAGGCAGCTGGACAGCCCAGGACCCTGGGGGAAGGTGCTGGCTCTCCCCTGTCCTCACGGCCCCACCCAGGTGGCTGCATTGCAGGCCTTTGTAGCTAAGGCAGCATTTCTCCTGCCTGCTCCCCAGGAGGAATGGTCCCCAGGGAGATGCTCAGTGGCCCCCATGCCCCCCCCAGCTGTCCTCCCCACCAAAGCTCCGGTTCCCACTTGAGACCCATCTTTAAACAAATGGAAATCTTCAACATAAGACATCACACACCCCCTCCCCCCCAAACACAATGGAGGCTGCCAGCCCTTGCTAATGAGGCCAGAGCCCTGGGAGTGGGGAGCGTTGATGTGAAGGACGGGAGCGCAGCCTGGAAACCCAGAAACCGTCCTCAGGCCGGCTGGGCGCCCGAGGGCTGGGCTCAGAAGGAGCTGTTTTCAGCAGTGCCCAGGGCGAGTGCACCCAGGGGGCCCGCGTCCCCGTTTATGTCGCGTCCTGGGTGGCTGGTCAAAGCTGTGCTTTACCTTCTCCAGAGCCCCCTTCAGGTGACAGTGGCCATCGCCCTGGGCGGCCTCCCCTGGGCCTCCCTGCCTGCTTTTCTCAGCACTCAGCCCCTCTCGCCTGGGCGGGGTCCCCACATGCCTGGCTCACCTGGGCCCACATACTCCTCCCATTCCTGGCCACCACTGGAGCTGGTGGGGACGCTACAGCAGCCCCCAGGGAGCACCGCTGGGAGGTGGTGACACAGGACTGGGTGGGTCAAACCCCGTCTCCTGCTGGAACCTTGCAGAGGCTCCTCACGAGGCTGCCCCGTAGGGGCTCCTGGGCACCAACCGAGCCCCCTGTGTTTGTGAGGACAGAGACCAAGGTGTCCTTGTCACCAGCCATGTTCCCAATGGTACCCTGAGAGGGGAGGGACTGGCTGCAGCCCCACGGTGCTGGGGGTGGGACACCAGTGTGTGCATCTG